GGAGCTATTTTGTGTGCATACATTTTACTAATGGACATAAACACTATTCAACTGTAGCTTACCAATCTCCCTCATATGCATGTTTATACAGAAACCAGAAACTTGATAGTGTGAATTACAGGGGCAAGAAGGATGGTAATCTTAGCTCTGTCATTTACTTGCCTTGAGACCTGGCAAAGTTCCCTTCACTACAGGAAGACAAGCTTTCTTATCCCTTAAATAACACAGAAATAAATATTTTAAAAGCCCTGTCCATTTTGCAAGGATTTCTGAGACATTCAAATGAGATTTTATACGTGAAAGGAGCTTATGAACTTTAAAATGCAATACAAACATAAGGAATTATTATAACATGTGTAGAGAATATAGGCTTCTATTATGGAAAGAAAGAGCACAGAAAATATACAATAAACTGGTGAAAAAATAGTTTAGATTTAAGTTCATTTACATCTGACCATTTTTCACCCTAGTAATAAAAGCTATTACAACATAAAACATAACAATAAATAAATTTGTTTGTGGTTACTGTAGAAATGCTTTCTCTTCTCTAGATAACATCATAAAATAGCTGTGTCTGGTGCAATTTTTTTAAAAAGTCAAATTTGCCAGGACACTCAATATGGACTGGAACTATTCTAAGAGTTTTATATATACTCGTGAAAATATATATATAAATATATATTAATCTCAATTAAAATTCAGTAAGGCAAATCCAGTTTGCAAAGAAGAAATGGCAGAGACTCAGAAAGGCTAAATAATTAGTTCCAGATCACATAGACAGGATGTGGCAGTGCCAAGAGCTGGACCCATCAGTCTGGCTCTCAACCCAGTACAGTGATATATTAGAATGAGAGAATATTAAACTTGAGAATTTACAACTATGGGAAGGTAGTAGGAAAAAAAAAACGTAAGGGAAAGGAATTTTTTAAATGTGACTGCACTTAATATTTTTATTTACCTTCTTCCAAGAGTATAAAATTATGAGACTTAAAAAAAAATGTCTAGCCTACCAATGGACTCACAGCCAGGACTCTCTTATGTTACAGGGTGAATCCATAATATTCTGAAAAATGTTCATGTGCTTGAAGGAAGGGCTTCTGGAACATGATTAGATCATGGGCTAACAAACCTTAGCAATGAATTTAACCCATTGATGAGCTCAAGGCTGAATGTGCTGCTAGGAAGTGGGCCATAGTTAGAGGAAATAGGTTACTGAGCTGTAACCCAGAAGGGAATAAGCTTGTCCCTAACCTCTTCTGTTTGTGCTCACTCTTCCCAACCTTCCTGGTTGCTATGATGTGAGCAGCTTTCTCTGTCTCACCCTTCTACCATGTTTCTGCCTGGAAGCCAGCCAATCATGGACTAAAATCTCTAAAATCGTGAAAGAAAATAAATATTTTCTTCCTTAAGTTGTGTGTGTCAGATATGTTTCCCTACAACAGAATGATAACTAACACTTTATTTCTTATAAAAGGGACAGATTTGTTCTTAGTGTTTCTATTACCTGATCACAGACTTACCTAATCTGATTCCTAATCATAATTAGCCATTCAATTTGAAACAGGGTAAATGAGAACCTTGATCTACCACAATAATTCCACTGGCATACACCAAGTTTTCGTAAAAGAAATGATCTTGGAATCTGGGTCATCTCCATCTTTCATCTTTTGAAACAAGAGAGATTGAATGCCCAAATGAGCTATGGAAATGGGCCAGGGCCTGTGTAAGAATTACCTTGTTCTCCCACAGGTCAGAGCACATCATCAGGCCATTCAAAACAGACAGCACAAACCAATGCTATAGAGCTTATATGACCACAGGAAAAAACCAGTCCTTTTGTGCCTTTTGGCTCCTAGCAGGAGTATTTTAATCAGTTTCTCTGACAGTTAAGCTTGATGGTCAACTTGATTGGTTTGAAAGATGCCTAGGAGAATAGCAAAGCACACTTCTGGGTTTGTCTGGTTGGGTCATGGAAGCATGACCATGGGTGCTACATCTAGTCCCTGGCTCCTTCCTCTCTGGTATTGTTCCTCTGTTCTGCTTCCTAGCCACTTTGAATTAAGACTCTTTGATCTGACATGCCCTTCTTCCATGATTTTTCTTCCTTGGAGCCAAACAACCATGCACTGAAGTCTCTAAACCATAAGCCAAATAAACCTTTCTTCTTTGAGTTGCAAGTGTCAGGTATTTGGTCCAGCAATGGGAAAGTTGACTAATATAGCCCCAAAGTGTGAGCCCGTTCTTTTTCTCTATGTGTCAGATACTGCTGGGACAAAGAATGCATATGACTCAGTTCGTGCCTGGAGGAATTCAGAGCACAGAACATAAATGTGGGTACACAAGTAGCCATCTATTACAAGTGTTAAAAGAGACAGGATGAGACAGTAACAGGAGCACTGAGGAAGAAACAAATAGAGGGAATGCGGAGTCGCACGGGATTTGGAACCCAGCCAGGCGTAGTGAGAAAGAGGAATGATCTCAAGGTTTCTAACTTTCAGACCAGCTCAGAAAATATAAAGACTAGTTCTGGAAACCTCTAAGTGAGTTCATTTCTTCAAGAGACCAAAGACAAGCCTCAAACTACTGTTAGTACCAACTTGTTGGCCACAGCAGGAATTGGCATACCTTGGGCTAATTTTAAGTTTTATCCTAATTAACTCCAGAAGTTATAAAGTAGGGGTTCATCTGTGGATGATGACACCCTTAACCTAGAGGAGGAGGAAAGGTTAGTGGTTAAAAGTACATAGGCTCCAGGTCAGGGATTTAGCTCAATGGTTCCACCGCCTGCTTTGAAAGCACAAGGTCCCGAGCTCGATCCCTGCTACCAAAAAAAAAAAGTATATAGGATCTGGGATCAGACTACTGTAGAGGATAAATTAGTAACACATGACTTTGGTCACTTATTTTATCTAAGCCTCAGATTTTATTCAAGTATAAAATGAAAATAAAATAGTAACTCTCATAGAATTGCTCAAACACACACTTAGATTATTTGTGGCATGAAAAGAATGCTCATATCATGGGAGTGAGAATATAAACTGATTATACCATTTTAAAAAACTGTCAAAATCTACCAGTATTGAATGTATGTATGCATGTGCTATCACCTAGCAGTTTCATTTCTAGGAATATACCCAATAGAAACATGTACATATGAGTACTGAATAACATATTTGAGAATTTCATAATAGTCCTATTTTATAATAACAAAAACTGAAAATAACCCAAATTTCCAACAACAGAGAAAGGGATCCATAAAGTGTGTATTCATACAATGGAACACTGCACAGCAATAAGTAAACATGAGCAAACAACTGCACTCAAAAAAACAGATGAGTCTCCAAATGTAATGAGAAAATAAGCCAGACACAAAATAATGTATACTATGTGACTTCATTTAAATGACATTCAGAAATAGGCTAAACTAATAAATGTCATTAAAAGTGAGGATAATGATTATCATTGGATAGATGATTATTAACTGAAAAGGAACACTAAAAATGTTCCTAAAATGTGGGTAATGTTCTTTTATGATTTGAATCCTGCTTATCTGAAAGTACATACTTTGTAAGTTTTCTTAGCTTTTTTTAAAAGTTAAAAAAATATGTTAAAGTATTATCTTGCTTTTAAAGCTCTCCAAGCAGATCATGATTGATAACAAATGTTCCGATACACTAAGAATGAGAGCATCATGTGAATGAAGAAGAAGAGTACGAGGAGTCAAACAGAGGCGTAATCTAGGAGCAGTTAGGCTGGTAATGTACTCTGCCACTATGTTCAGATGGGGACATTCCTCACAGCTCAATAGACAATCACTAAAGCCGTGCCAAAGTACAAGGTATAACTCAGGAAACACATACAAGGTAGGTAGGGAGGGATCACTTGACAGAAAGACTTCCTAGGAGGAGAGAAGTAAAATAGGGCTATGTTTCAAAATCAGAAGGAAAAGAGACTCTCATGAAGTGTGGTGTCAAGAATTGTAAAGCTACATGAGACTGAGATAGGTGAAGACTATATAGAGCCTCACAGATTTGTCTGTGACCCCAGCTAAGGCAGACTCAGGGGAGTTAAATTTAGAATGCTACTTTAGAACATAAAAATAGTGATGTGAACTATTAGAGCAATAAAGAGAGGGAGAGAAGTATGTTACTATTTAGACAAAACAGGTGACAGTGATGTCTTCATCAATGTCTTTGTTAATATTTAAGACTTGAGGATTTTCTTGATAATTTGAGAGAACAGCAAAGAAAAGCAACAGAAAATACGGGAAAGATGAGGTAACTGACAGGATAATGTCCTTAGAGAGGAAAGACAATAGTGTTTCCATCTCCCAGCTGAAGCAGTTAGCCTTAAAGAGGAGGGTGGTGCACTGTATTAGCTTTCCTGTTGCTGGGACAAAATACTTGATACCTTCAACTTAAAGGAGGGTGCTTTGATTTGGACCACAGTTTCGGAGGTTTCTGGCCATGTTATCTTTCTCTAAGGCAGAAACATCATGACAGAAGGGTGTGGCAGAGGCAAAATGGTCAATTCAGGGCATGTGGGAAGCAGAGACCAAGGGAGGAGCCAGAGAAGAAGAGGCCAGGGAGCAGTCTCCAAGGGCACATCCTGGTGGCCCATCTATGCACACCGGAGAGAGTGCTTTACTAATCTCCTAGGCATCTCTCAAGCCAAACAAATTAACAATCAAGATTAAACATCACACCTCCTTCCTCTGAGACTGGAAGGAAAGAAGAAAGAATGGGTATGAATGTAGTATCCTCTGATTTTGATAACCGTGATGATAATGATGACAACATCAGCTAACCAGGATATATTCTTATGTTCTTTACATTGGATGTCATATTCATAGCATAACTCCTAGTGGATCATATTATCATTTTCATTCTACAGGTAAAGAAACTGAGTGCAACTAAGTTAAATAGCTTGCCCAAACTGGAAAATCCCAGAGCTTCACTACTCCACCCAACACTCTTCCTCATATTTTTTAGACCTCATACCTTTCTGGGTAGCAGTATGCTTAGGTACTCTTCCAATACACAAACCTGGGTACAGCAAATAAAGCATACTCTGGTCCACTTCTAATATGTCATGGAATCTTGTGTACATTACTGGTCATCTGTGAGCCTCAGTCTGTGATCTGTGGAATGAAAAACTAAGACTAGATGGATCTTCTCAGGTTGTTTTCACCCCCACCAGTCTTTGATCACTTTGAAAGGTATAAAAAGATTGTAATATCCAGCTGTAAAATCTTTCATAGTTCTTAAAGTGAAGAATGTGGCTCATAAAATCCATGAGTCAGTAAACTTTTCTTGTAAAAGGCAATATTGTAAATATTTTAGGCCTTTCAGATTATACAGTATCTGCCACAATTATTTAACTCTGCTATCATAGTGAAAGCATTCACAGATATATAGAAATGAGTGAATGTGGCTCTGTTCCAATAAAACTTAATTTACAAAAATAGGTCACATTTTAGCCATGGTTGTAGTTTACTAACTTCTACAACTTGAAAGCTATAGCCATTAATACCATATCTTTGTTGTAATATAGACTATGATCTTGGATAAATTAGTTACACCTTCCTCAAACCAGTGAGGTAGAGACCATAGTAAATAAGGATATTTACCTTGCTGTGACATCAGGAGGCAAAGACATAAAAGTGATAACAAAATACTGAAAACAGATTTAGGGATATCATACAGAATGGCTAGGCCAGCTGTTCTTTCTTTCCAGTGACTACTAAATAAGAAAATACAAGATTAAATAGCACCCAGAGTTGGGGAAGGGTGAGTTCACTAGCTGTGAAATATCATACTGCGCTCTAGTGTAAAGAAAGGGATTGGGCTTCCCTGGGTATCTTTAAGAACTGAACAGATAACGATGATATGTCAACAATCATCAGAAATATGTCCTAACATAGATTCACGGGAAAGAAGTGAATCGGAAATTCTATTTCTTTGACCTATGAATAGAAGGACCTTAGTTTCAGGGCATCATCCTGGATACTTGTTGGTTGCATACCAACTACCTATTCAGCTGTCTCTGACATTTCACATTTACATTTGAGATTCTGAGAAAGTTGAATCCAGAATCCTCCAGTGGTGAGTGTATGAGATAGCAAAAGCCTGCTCAGTGAACTGATGAGAAAACATTTCAGGCCCTTTTAAGGACTGAAAGAATAAGGGCATAGTCACCTTGACTGGATAGGGCCATGTGTGGGGAGGAACTGCTACAGCCCTTTGCTACCATGAAGGCAATCAGTCTCGAAATGATGGCAAAATACCAGAGAAGGCAGAGATAGAAGAAGCAGGAGCAATAAAGTCAGAGTCCTAGTGACTCTTGATCAAACACTGTCTAATGTCAGTGTGCCCTGACTTTGGCTTTCTAAAATTGCATAAGCTGAAATATTTTCTTTGCAGTCATAAGCCAGTTTGAGTTGATTTTCTTGGTACTTTCAAAAGATTATATCCCAACTTATATATTCACAACTTGATTTCCACACATAGCCTGACTTGGAAAAGGAAATTAAATGAATGTTTAAAACACATTCTAACACATTCATACACTTCTAAAATATTTTCCCAAAATTCCTCTAAATTGCTTTGAAAGCACAGTAGTAAAATGATGACTTGACCATCACTATTGTTCCAACCTGTCAGTAATTCATTTCTTCCACAGCTTCCAAAAGCAAAAGACAGGCCAGCTTAAAGTCCCTCTGCCTTTTTAATCTGACCAGTGATCATAATTCAAAGTCCTGTCCTCATAAGAGAATTCCCTCTTGCAAATTATTTCTGTCTTTAAGTCTTTAAACTCTTACCTCAGATGGCCTCTGAGACATAGCTACAAAAATGAATCCATGGACACACTATTTCCAGCTTTCAGAGAATCCTATCCAAGGGAAGGAAACAAGATATTAGCAATCTTTATGTTTTAGGGCACAAAAAAAAGAGATTTCTGATTTATTTGGGAATGAGTGGAAAAGTCTGCAGAATGCTAAGCTACATTTTATTTATTCTTTCCATTCTATTTTGGGGCTTCTTTTCAGGAATTAAAGTGGCATGGGAAATTTTTAATGTTCAGTATATTGGTTACTTTACATCAACATGAAAACAGAGCAGGACAACCTATTGGCTGTCATAACATTTCTCTATTGCTAGCCAGCAGCAAAACAAAGATAATGCATTAACCAGCCTCTCTGATCCATTTATCTTCTCAAGATAGTCTGGATTGTTAGCCTGAATAGATGCATGGTTGTGAACATCCATCTTTTAAATGACATTGCAACAAGGCTACTTTAGACTCAAAGTCGGCTTCTTTCCTTCACTATTAATGAGTACAACTTTTCTGAATGGTATGTTCTTCTGCAAACTCAAATATAGATAGGACAGGCCCACTATAAATATATGTGATTCTCTATGTGCCCAGGATATAAAAGAAATCAAGTAGGCCAAATGGAAAGGAAACTTAAAAGCCAATGAAAAACAGACATGGGGGCATTAAAGGAATTGTATGAATCTTGTTTCTTATTTAAGTAACGTGTCTCATGAGATTTCTAAGCCTGCAAAAAAAACCTCCAAACATTAGAAAGAGAAAGCAAGCATTCTCCAAGCATGGAAAATTGTCTTAGGAACAATCCTAGGAACAATCTCAAAATCTGCCTCCAGCTTCTGCTTCTCTCTGTCCTGATTTGTTTATCTCTCTTTCCATTATACCAACCTTTCCCTGATCTCTTCTAAGACTTTTCCCTCATCTCTTCTAAAAGCTCATCTACAAATGACACTATTCTCTGATGCCCATGAAATCCCATTAGCATTATTCTTGCGTTGCTTCTTCCTTCCTATGGGAACACAGGAAAGTAAGGTAATAACCATTATTCTAAGCAAGAAAGGCCAAAGGCCAATCTGCATGCTTGCTTCGAAAGAGAAGAAATATTTTCAAATTCCTTCATTTAGGAATTATACCTGTTTTGTCTTTACTTCTTCCTGTATATATTAAAGAAAACCTTTTACAGTACCTTCATATCCCACTCTCTAAAAAAAAATCACAAAAGCACTTCATAGGTTGCAGTCACAATTGAATAAGATAAAGGTTAAAATTATGTACAAGTGGCCATACTTCTGACACCAAGAAAACTATAAAATGTCCAGGACAAGCCTTCTCCTTTGCTAACGAGAAGATTGGCTAAATGCCTAGCAATCTTTCTGTGAAACCTCTTCCTGTTCTTATCTGTCCCCTGTCACTAAGAGGGAACACTAATTTCAGGTTCCCAGATCCCTGGGTTTATTAAAAAGACCCACCTTTATGGAGAAGACTCGAAGTTGGTGGAGGATTATTCAAATAGCTTGTGAGTACTGTTTTTTATAGTGAATATCAAACCAAGTGAGGCTATTTGCTGTCTTAAATTGCCATTCACTCTGCAGTTAATAGAAACAAAGAATGGTTTGCTTTGGAAGGCAGAGGGAGCTAAATATTAACTTGTAATTCTTCTAACACCTTCATGATTAACCATGACACCAACTCTAGCCCTGCTTATGACCATGTACTTTCCAAACTTCTGTGCCAGTCAAATACAGGGAACAAATCCGTGGGAAATATTTGTAAGAGAAACTTTCAGGAAACTGTTTGTTAGGTCAAATTAAATACTCATAGTAATGTTTCTTCACAGCATTAAAATAATATGCACTGAAACAACTAGAAATAGCAGATTCTCCTTACAACCAACAGTTAATGAAAATGATGAAAACGTAGATAGTGATCTCAGATTCCATTAGCATTACCTAGTGAAGCACCATTCTACCATCACATTTCAAATAAATTAGCGTTATCACCATTAAACAACTCCAAAGCAAACAGTTTCTAGCAGTATTGATGACTAACTAAGACCATATAGCCTTCAATAGGTTCCAGTTGTCATTGTGACAGCTAATTTCCCAAGGACCTGCAGAGACTCATGAGTATCGCAGCCATAAATTGAGGTGTGAGGTAAGGTTTGACTTGCTTGCAGGGCATGGAGCAGAGTCAAGGTAAACATCAAATAAGAATGCCAGGATTCTTTAGGGATTTCACTAGCCTAACTGGGCAAGAGAGAAAAGTGGGTCCCTTCCTCACAGATTCTGATGAATAACTGGTCTTGGGAGATACCTCATAAACTGAAAGACGGATGGTCTTGCATTTGAGTGTCTTTGTCATCATGATGAGCTCTGTACTCTTGGGCAACTTACTTAAATTGTCTGAGCCTCAGTTTTCTAATCTATAAAAAGGGAACAGTACTATTTTGAGGATCATAGGTAACATGCAAAATTCTCAGCATACTCCCTGGCATCTAGTATAACTCCCAAATTGTGAGGTTATTATTAATAATCACTATACTTCAGGATTCCTGATAGTAAAACAGAAACCAGCATAACAGAGAAGGTTGCGCAGGATTCAAGAATTATAATATGCTTAAAATGTCATGCTGCTTAGTAACTAGTCCACAAAAATTCACAATATCTGAAATATTGATATGGCATCTAAAAGAGTTAATATCTTTTAGTGCTAAGTAATATTCCATTCAAATTTATTTAATCACACATTTTGTTATCAAATGTCTATCAAGTTCAACACAAAATATTAACTGAGTTGTTATATGACCAATATTTTTCAACTACAGCAAAGGACACCAGAAAGCCCTTTAATACTTATTTAAGAGAACGGGCATTACTTATTTATAAATGAAGCCTGAAATGAGTGGGTTGTTGTGTAGTGGTGCTATTTCTTGTTTTTATTTTTCTAAGTAGCATATGAAATTATTCTGTGTATGTATCTGAGTGGATATAAGCTGGACACATTACCAAAATAGTATTAAGTTGTCATGGTCTGATAGTTCTCTGTAACTTATCTGTGTGGTAACCTCTTATCTTGCCACCAAATGCCACCAATGTACAATGTGACTGCAAAAATTAAATACAAAAATGAAGAAAACATATGCAAATGTGGAAAAAATAATACTTTCATTTCAGTCCATTGATCTGAATTAGAAATTGAGTTTTTCCAATAAAGCTATTTTATATACGTATTGCTTCAGTTGAAAAATCCCAAATAAAAAAGATGAAAAGAGAGTTACATGGAGTTCATCATGGGTCTTGTCTTCTACACCATGGTTAATGCTTATGTTTCATAAAGAAAGTTTTAGTCCTATTACTAAAAGTGAAAGTGAGGAATTCATGAGAATAGAAAGCATTTCTGATACAGAGAGTATGAGCACTCAGATTCATGGAGAAGAGAGCAAAGAGAGAGAATGCAATTATTTGTATTATCAGTCTTCATGTTCCTGGTATTGGAAAGGATAAAAGAGGCCTTGCAAAAAGTTCCTGGAGGCACCACCCCAAATGTTTCAAATTACTATTCTGAATATTCATTAAATCACAAAAATATTCTATGCTGAACACAGTCTTTGATAGGTATCAATCAAAAGCACATTTTCTCACAAATGAAAACAGGAAAAAAACCAACACTGGCATCTTTGTTCTTCCTGATTCTTTTCTCTACAAAAATATTGCTTTAAATTACTGTTTATTCTCATAATGGACTGGGGTCTTTGAGGTCTTTGCTGCTTAAAGTGCTCTTAATGTACAGTCAATATACATGCAAAGTTTGCACTGATTATATGCAGCTCAAAAGATTTCAAACCATCTCCCTAGAAGCTTTCCTCTCTCTTCAGAATTCCCAAGAGTTTCCTACTGGCTGATTTTCAACAGAACACAACAGAGTCTCCTCTTGGAAATGGATTTCCCATAGAAATGGGCAACATCAAAGGACAACTCCCCAACAGGAGAGCACCTCTCTGATTTCACTGAACCATGATGCAAAGAACAAAAGCAATCTATTCACAGATACTGGAAATGTTACAGTAGCATTAAGCATGGCTCTAACCCTTCCCTCCTTTGCTTTCTTGGCCAGTTCTTCTTGTGGTCTCAACCTTTGCATTTTCCTGCACTTATTTCAAAAGTTCTCGGACCTCTCACTTGTCATATCTGTTAAATCAAATGGATTTGGTTGGTGTGTAGATTTCTTATGGCCTACTCAGCATTTGATAGAGTTAACTCTTAAAAATGTCTTCAATTCAGTTCCATTCTATATATACATCTTAGTGTTTTTGTGGCTCTCTTCCTATATATATTTGGCTGCTCACAGGGAATCTGCATCAGCCATCTCCCATCTCACCATGTACACTCATTCTCTCCTAGAGAGTACAATTAAGACATCAATTACCACTTATCAGTTGATGACCCCCAATCACTTCTGTAGCTTAAACCTTCCCTAGTCCTGGATACCTAATGTGGCCAATGTCTTCAAATAGAAAACACTTTATCAAATTCAACAGGTTACACTGCACACAGGGAACTCACCTTTATCTATGTCTTGAAAGTGTCTCCTTAAAGAAAAAGCTTATGACTACAGAGATAAATCATCTAATAAGTCAAACTAGTCTTTCCATAATCTAAACATATCTTCAAATTCTGACTTGTGCTTTTATTGCTTCTAAGTTTCTCATATTTATAAACACACACACATATATACATTATTATTTAGTTATATGAAAGCATATGCTGGAATTAGCTCAGGCCTTGATGGTCTTTGTGACTTCAAGAAATCCCGAAAATTAATTTAATTATGCATCACCTAATTTGTCTAAATCCTTATATTCACAATGCCCAAAAACAAGTAGACCAAGGGATAATCTGTAGTTTATAAGAAAAGACCACAATATTCATGGTTATTACCTCCCTCAAAATGAGACCACCCATCAAGGAAATCAGGTTATATTTTTAGGAAATAGTTATTAGAACATTCCAAACTAATATGATGAAAGGTGAGAGAATGTTCACTAATAAGTATTCTTGTGC